AAAAAAAAGCGGCGGCAGCAAGCATCACAGCAAATTCGCGTGACCGCGGGCCAACACACGTCCAAAGAAACCGAGCCAAGTAGATGGTTGATAGCACGCTAAGGACGACATGAATTGGCATGTGATCTGACGTCCGATTCAGCTACTCAAACATTCGATATCAACCACTGGCCCAACGCACTTACCCAGAATATGTTGGTAGACTACATGAAACCGACTGTCGCATCATCCACAGCTCATGGTCATCAGTGTGAACGACAAATTCGCCCTCTACTTTCGACTGCTGCTGCAAAGCTCGCATTTTTCCGATCAAGCGGTCCAGCGTCGGCGGGGCTTGCTCTGTCCTATGGGCGGGGCGTTCAAGCGACTGTACGTTTCTCGCCTCTACCGGCCACTCGCACCTTGAAGCTGATGCCCCACTGATCCTGTACTTTGTGGATAAAAAGCTGGCTTCTGTTCGTTGCCAACCCGTGAAACGATTCTACTTTGAACATCCCTTTGTCGCCGTCACTGCGCTGGCACAAAGTGGGCCGGGCGCGCCTTCCCGGCGATCAAATAATGCGCAGCCCGTTCGACTCGCGACAATGCCACGTAGGCTGCGGCACGGCACCCGGGCCTGTCTAACCACACGGTAATGTGTGGCACTGTGGCTCCTTGAATCTTTGGGATGGTTGTGGCGTAACCCAACCGAATTGGGAAGGAAGTCACATTTCCGTGGTCTTGAATTTCTTCGGTGTACAAATGGACTGCAAGCATCTTTCCCATTTTCGTGATCACCGACAGGCATTGACTTGCTGGGTCGTAATCGTGCACGATGGCAGACATGCCGTTCACAAAGCCGTTCTCCTTGTCCAGGTTCTTGGTCAAGAAGAGCCGCTCACCTTGGTATACCTGAATCATCTTTGGGTGCAACTTGCCCTTCTTGAGGCTCCCGTCGGCAAGGTAGTTGTCCGGGTTTGTGTCAAAGTCCACCGGGATTTCGCCGAGCGGTGTCTTGTGACGGTCTTTGAAGAGGACTTGGATAGCGAGCTCGTTCACCAGCCCGCTGGCTTTGCGGGTGCACGTTACGATGGTGGTTTGAGGCTGGTTGCGCAGCAAACACAAGATGTCCCACGCCTCGGGCGTGTGGCTAGTCCATGCCCTGTGCCCGCGCAGGATTTGTTTCAGTTGGCGCTTGCTGGGAGGCGCAGTTCGCAACAGAGACAAGGTCTCTTGCAGTTCAGGGTCTTTGCACCTGACTTGCTCTTGAAAGTTCACGAAGCGGACATTCGATCTCCACAAAGGGCTCTCGTCGCAGCGCCGCGCGTTCTTGTCCACCACCGGCATCTGCCAGAAGTCACCGGCCAGCAAGATGCACGGTAGCTTGTCAGCAGCTGTCCACATGGCAACAACTCGTTCGAACTGCTCTGCAGTCAGCATTGAGACCTGGGTGCGAGAGAGTTCTTGCGGAACGCCTGGGATTGCATGAATCTTAAAATCCTAAGCCGTTCTTCATGGTATCTTCGTTTATTAGTTGGGTCGCCCGGCCTCATCCAAGATGATGAGGTCGTATTGCGTCATGACGCCTAGCGCCTCGGAGAGGTCTTTGTGAAAGAAGAGTCCACCATGGTAGGTGTCCACATCGATGTTGGGGTGCTGCGGCTTCATCTCTGCCGCAAGCTGGCCGGTAGGAACGACAAGGAGTACGCGAGCACTTCGAGCTTCCCAGCGCTTGATTTGAGCGTGCAACACGAAGGTTTTGCCGCTACCCGGCCCGCCGTTGGCGAATAACATCTTGTTGTTGTTCTGGGCTTCAACTGTCAGGTCTTCGATTTCTTCGTCGCTGGTTGCATTGGCTGCCTTCAAGGCACGTTGGATTGGCTCCTTCATGGCATCACGAAACTTCTTCTGTGATGCTGTGAGTTTGATCTTTGGCTGCTCAGCCGGCCCATCTTCCCTGTCTTCGCCGCTGCTTTCCGCTTCAACCACGCTGTCGAGGTCCACCTCTCCGTTGAGGCAGCTCCAAACCAAGCTTCTTTGGGCCCGGACCTTGCTCAAGATAGTTTTGATCATTGCTTGACCATGGGCCTCCAGTTCCATTTGGCTTTGGATGGAATCATCGTTGCCCCAGAATTCGGGAGCGGCTTGCAAGGCCATGGCAAAGTACCGGTAATGTGGAGGCACTCGAGCTGCAACGCCGGCAGAGGCATTTGTGAGGTCTTCTAGCTCACGAAAGGACTTGTGCAATACCAGCCACTGGCCGTAGTAGCGGTCATTGAGCATACTGTACATGCTGGCCGCAACCAATTTTTCGGCTTGTGGTTTGTAGCTGTTTGCAAACTCCTCCACTTCCGGCAGCCACACATCCCATTCGCTCTCCACAAACTCGGCCAGCGTGCCCAGCGACGCGTCCGATTTGAGTTGTCGCTTGTAGCTCTTGATCAAGTCAGCGCTCTGCCTGGCAGCCTCCTTTGGCGGCACCTCTGCATCGATCATGGCCTGCTCAACCGTTTTGGCCGCATATTGGAAATGCTTTTCCTTGATGTGGCGTACGATCTCTCCAGCTTGGTTGCTCTTACGAAGGAATTGAATGAAGGGCATGTCGTCCCGACGCCATGTGGCATTTTCATAGTTGTTCAAGAGCTTTGGCTTGTTCTCCGTGTCTGGCAGAGGAACGAAGAATTCTACCAGCGACCCCTTGTAATCTACTTGAGGGAATCTCTCTTGCGCGAGGGTCAGCCACATCTCTGGTTCCAAAGGGTGGTAGCTGAAGAGAATGCGCCGTGCCACACTATAGTCTGAAGCTTGCTCGTTGAGCCATTCTTTTTCCATGGAATCACTAAACTTCAGGGAGTAAGTCGCAACGTACCGAAGCACAGCACCATTGCCGTCTGGCTGCTGAATGTCTTCGTGGCACTTGGTGACTTCCATCGTCTTGGGGCAATAGGCCCGTATGTTCAGGTCATGATCTGTTGGCGTGTGCTTCAGAAGTACTTTCTGTGTCTTCTCGTCAAATGTGGACTTCTGCTTTCGAATTGGAATCTTGGAGCTCGTGCGATCCTGCTGGCTATCCATGACCAGTCCATGCAACAACGGGTGACGCTCCTTGTCTGGCACATGGGCTGAGATTTTGCTTTCCAGACCAATGTCTTTGATGTTCTGCAAGAAGTCCAGTGAGTGGCTGTGCGTGGTCCCTCTACCATGATAAGTTCTTGTGGCTTTCTTTCTTTTGCCGTCTTGGAATTCCAACCGAGTGACGCGGCCGATCACTGTCTGGACGTCTTTGTCATTTGCGGGCCCAAACAAATGATTCTTCCAAATACGGTCAGCGCGGCCAGTTTCCCCACGAGCTCCAGCAATGAAGGCCTTGTCCAGCTCGAGCAAGACATGCGCTTGATGGAGCGTTTCTGCACCTGCCAGATGCATGCGCGCTCGGCCGGCCACCCGTTGCTCGTGCATCACCCATTCGTGGTGTGGAAAGGTCATCTCATAGGGTGCCCGGGTGCGGAACAGTGTTGCGTTGCCGCACTGACGTTGCATGCCTATCACGGCCAGGTGTCTGATGTGTCAGTATTGCGGAGCCCATGGGCATCCAGCCAAGATCACCCGCAGTGGAACTTCGAACTGTCGAGCTATGTTCTTCTTGGCCCCCACCGTAGTCCACATGCTGAGGTCATAAACGAAGTGCAGCAGTTCATAGTCTGTGCCATAGCCGATGACCGGCGAAAGCACTTTTCGAATGAAGCCGCGCTTGATTCTGCCCATCTTGCTTTGCTGGATGTCAGCGCTGGGTCTGCTTTCGTTGCTGGCTTCATCGCTGGCCTCATCATCTTCCTCCTCGGAATCCACTGTTTGGCGCTTGGCTTTGCGCTTCTTCGCCCGTCGGCTTTCGTGCGAAGCTCTTGCGACCGTTTCGCAGAGGTTGCGATGCCAGTAGAGGTGGGGCCATAGTGCGCACTCTAAGCCTTGCTGTCACCGATGATATCAGGAAACAAAGCGTGTCGCTGTTATTTCTTTGGTGTGAAATAGTAAATGAGTAAACGTGCTTTAGTTAAAGACTTCATGCGAGTAACCTTCTTGTTCGATATAGCGTAGCGGCCTCTTGCGCAGCTTCTCTTCGGCATCTTTCCCGTACCTGTGCAAGAACTCCATATGCTTGTCATAGAACGCGAGGTAGTCGCTGTCTCTGCAGCTCAGGAGATGATTCAAAGCTGCGCGAGCAAGGCGCCGATCGGCCTTCGGAAGCTTTTTGATCTTGCTCTCTACACTTCTGGGTGCCCATGCGAAAGAGATCATGCTCATGTGCACGCGATAGCCGTAATCTGCCCGTACTGCAGGTCCTCGGAAAACAAGTTTTCGATCGTTTTCCTTTTACATTTTTGTCGTTTCTGCTGAATCAAAACACGTGTTTCGCCCGCCCTGCCTGTGTTAACGTCGAGCGGTCGCAGGGCTTGCAAGACCTCCGGTGTCAGGTTTCGTAAAGCTGGCGGGACGTCCTCCAGCGCTGGCACGTACTCCTCGTGGCGGCAGGCCGTGCACTTCTTAGGCGTCATGGAAGCCGCCTTCACCCGCTTCAGGTCCATCGGCTCCAAATTTTGCGGCTGAAGCGAATGACATGTGGTGCACATGGCCCAAGATCCCTGTTTGCACCAAGCTTCGAGCATACGAGCCGTTTCATTTTGAGGGGCAGGCATACCACAGTCATTGGTTGCGAGGTCAGCGATCTCGCCGCATCGCGCTCGAACTTCTGCAACTTCCTTTTCTTCTTGTGCCAGGCTGCCATGCTTGCCCTTGTGCTCAGGACACAAAACTTTGCGTCTCGCCCTTTGGCGATCTTTTCGAACTGCCTGCTCATATTTGATCTGCTCTTCTTCTTCCATCGGTGCTTTCAATGGCTTTCGGGCTTCGAGCAGCTGCTTCCATTCTTCTTTTGGCGGCTTGGCCTTCACTTTGGAAACTTTGGATTTGATTTCTTGAGCTTTTTCTTGACCTTGCCAACTCTCTATGTTGCTGAAGGCTTTGCGTCTAGCTTCTTCGGACAACTTCTTCAAGGTTGGGACGACCTTTGGCCGATCAAATGAAAAAGCTTTTTCCAATGCCTCCTTGCTGCAAAACATGCAATGTTTTTCTCCTCGCTCTGGATGAATTTTGGCAGGTGTGCCAAGGTGACTGGTTGAAAAGGTGCAAGGCTTGGCTGGCATGCCCGGGCATTGCTCGTTTGGCCATGGCTTGCGAGCAGCGGGCTTTTTCTTCACCTTTGATGCGCTCGCCTTGGACTCGGCACATTGCTTTGCACTGGCTGGTCGCTTCTTGGGCAGCGGCGCTAACTCCTCTCGTGCTCCCTCGCTGCCGGCTCCCATCCAATCCTCGAAGGGCTCGGGCTCAAACATAGGAATTTTGTGGTCGCCGGCTTCACTTTCATGTTCCATTGCGTTCAAATCATTCAAATCATTGTCACGTTCGTCTATGCCTTGTTCGAGATGGCCACTAGAATGATACAGCTCACCCGCATCGAATTCTATCTCGGCTTCTGACGGAAGCGCCATTTGTTCATCTTCATCGCTATCCATGCTGAGCACCGAGCCCTCTGCAGCAAATGCATCCGGATCTTTTAGCTGCGCACCAAACTCTGCCGCAAAGTATTCTTCGTGGGTCCCTTCAGGCATTCGACGTAGAGCTTGTTCACGAGAGGCCTCTGGCATCCCACGAAGGAGTTGCGCTAGTCGGGCTCGGCCACCTTTTGTTGCGCACATTCGTTCCAAATTCTGGGGATCGCACCAAACGCACCGAGTCTGTCCTTGTTTCGGCTGCGTCGGGCCACCAACTTTGGAGAATGCGCAAGGCACGCCTCCATGAGTTCCACAACATTGGCGCGGCATGGCGGAGCGAACTGGAAACACAAGTCGTTCGAAACACTTGAGCTTGAGATGCTGCCGGCCAACTTCATTTCCACAACACGCACACCCATGACACAGACGTGATACGCCCAAGACCATTGCGTAGGGCTGTCTTATTTTCCTTTCGTTTGGACTCAATACTCCAATTCGCAATCAACAATTGCGCAGCTCACACCTCACCGCGGGCTTCCGATTAATAAATCAATTGCAGCAACGACCGCAAACAGGACGCAGCAAACACATTTCGATCACCATTAAAAAGATCTCACAAGGTCCGTTTTTTTTTTGGGCCACAAAGCAAAGCACGCAATGTCTAGCGCAATTACGCCCTCGCTTTTCCGGCTATTCAACTTGGGCTGATCGGTCCGCGAATTGCGTCCGCCTAGAAAGTTGATAAACATCAATGCATTATTCATTCAATTGTGAACGGAAAGCGTCGTTATTCGTTCTGCTTGGGAACTTTAAATCCTACCTAGATGCATACCATGAAACAATTTCAACACAAAAGCAACATTGTGCTCAAGTCTGCCCAGTCACGAGTGGCCTAAACGCAGCCCAAGTCACTTTACTATGCACAGTGGCGTCTCGCCCTATTAGATTTAAGTTTTCGAGGTCCGTGCCCATGCCAGCCGAAGCTGCACCGGGTTGCCAATCCGGTGTTGCACTCACGTCCGCCCTCAATAATAATAGAAAGCTACAATTTTAATTCTCGAAATCGACCGGTTTATGGGGCCTAAACCCCGCAACGTCGAAGTAGGGAGGCGTCCGTGAAATTTCGAAATCGCCTCTTTCAGCTCGATGCTGTAAGGCTTACATTTTTGCTTCCGAGCAGGTTTTGGGCGGTAACGCCGGGTGACGCTTCAAACGCTGTAGCGTTAACACCGGTGGGCGCGCTACAGCGTTACCACCGGCGAGGGGGGTAAACCTTGCTAGTCTGACTGCTGTAATAAGGGTTTACCCCCCCAAAACCTCAAGCTATGAAGTAGCCTGTGCAAAGGTTTTGCCCGGGTAAACCCTTTGAAGTGGAGGGCGCGACGCGGCGTTACCACGGTCACCTTGGTTGTTGTTAGGGTTTAGCCCCCCTAAACCCGTCAGGCTTCAGGAACGATCCTCATCAGTGAAAAGTGCAGCGCGACATTACCACCTAGAAGGAGGCAAACCTTATTGTATATTTCGGGGGCCGTCTCTAACACAAACCTGCTACACACTATATATTGTAATTCCCCGCGCTCTTAAACAGCCTGCGATGCCCCTCCAAAATGGACAACCCGGGAAGACCGTAATTTTCCTACACTCTAAAACGGCCTGTGGCTTTCTTCTATTTTGCAGCCCTCGACATAGGACTCTTGTAGCCTCTCATAAAGGGTTCAAAAATGAGTAGGAGCCACAGGCCGCTTTAGAGTGTAGGAAAATTACGGTCTTTCAGGCTGTCCATTTTGGAGGGGCGTCTCAGGCCGTTTAAGAGCGTAGAAAATTACCAGCTACGAGGGGCTGCAATAAAGGATTGATTCTGTGCTTTATTAAGAAGCGGATTCGTTGAACATTCACACTAAACCCTCCAGCCTTTACTAAGGCGCAAAAGGGGTGGGGCTCCCCTCGATTTGCCGCAAAATGGTCCGTTTCATATCAAAATTTGCTTAGCCGGGGCTAAATCCGTGGCCGGCTTCAAAACCACGGTTTTAAGCTATCGCAACCTGAACCCTTTAGTAAGGAGCAGATTTGTTGAAAATTCACGCTAAACCCTGAAACCTTTACCCAAATATACTCAAAAGGGGCTCCCTTTGATCTGCCGCAAAATGGTCCGTTTCATATCAAACTTTGCTTAACCAAGGCTAAATCCTGCCTCCCTGGTGCCTCCCTGGTGCCTCGCAGGCTGTCCAATTGATCCTTTCCTGCCTCCCTGGTACCTCCCAGGCTGTCCCAGATTCTGTCCCACGAGGATGTCGCGGCCGTCTCTAACACAAACCTGCTACACACTATATATTGTAATTCCCCGCGCCCTTAAACGGCCTGCGATGCCCCTCCAAAATGGACAGCCCGGAAGACCGTAATTTTCCTACACTCTAAAACGGCCTGTGGCTTTCTCTTATTTGCAACCCTCAACATAGGACTCTTGTAGCTTCTTATTCAGGGTTCAAAAATGAGAGGAGCCACAGGCCGCTTTAGAGTGTAGGAAAATTTACGGTCTCCCGGGCTGTTCATTTTGAAGGGGCGTCGCAGGCCGTTTAAGAGCGTAGAAAATTACGGCTACGAGGGGCTGCTGCAAAGCTTTCCTGCCTCCCTGGTGCCCCCCTGGTGCCTCGCAGACTGTCCAATTGATCCTTTCCTGCCTCCCTGGTGCCTCGCAAGCTGTCTTTCCTGCCTCCCTGGTGCCTCGCAGGCTGTCCAATTGATCCTTTCCTGCCTCCCTGGTACCTCCCAGGCTGTCCAAGATTCTGTCCCACAAGGATTTCGGGGGCCGTCTCTGACACAAACCCGCTACACACTATATATTGTAATTCCCCGCTCTTAAACGGCCTGCGATGCCCCTCCAAAATGGACAGCCCGGCAGACCGTAATTTTCCTACACTCTAAAACGGCCTGTGGCTTTCTCTTATTTGCAACCCTCAACATAGGACTCTTGTAGCCTCTTATACAGGGTTCAAAAATGAGTAGGAGCCACAGGCCGCTTTAGAGTGTAGGAAAATTACGGTTTCCCGGGCTGTCCACTTTGAAGGGGCGTCGCAGGCCGTTTAAGGGTGTGGAAAATTACGGCTACGGAGGCTGCTGCAAAGCTTTCCTGCCTCCCTGGTGCCTCCCAGGCTGTCCAAATGGCTCTTTCCTGCCTCTCTGGTGCCTCGCAAGCTGTCTTTCCTGCCTCCCTGGTGCCTCGCAGGCTGTCCAATTGATCCTTTCCTGCCTCCCTGGTGCCTCGCAAGCTGTCTTTCTTGCCTTCCTGGTGCCTCGCAGGCTGTCCAATTGATCCTTTCCTGCTTCCCTGGTGCCCCGCAAGCTGTCCAATGAGTCCTTTCCTGCCTCTCAGGCTGTCCAAATAGTCCTTTCCTGCCTCCCTGGTGCCTCCCTGTCAAAAGGAATCCTGTGCTCCGAGCGCCATTTCAAAGGCCAGTCTGTGCTGGGCAGCCGGCCGTGGCGCCCCACCCCAAGATTTGCCGCGAACCGGGCCGTTTGCCATTGAAATTGTATTAAAAGTTAGACAAAATCCGGCGCCCTTCCAAAACCGAGATTCGATCGGCAATCCTGTGCTACAAGTCTCCCTGGTGCCTCCCTGGTGCCTCCCAGGCTGTCCAAATGGCTCTTTCCTGCCTCCCTGGTGCCTCGCAGGCTGTCCAATTGATCCTTTCCTGCCTCCCTGGTGCCTCCCAGGCTGTCCAATTGATCCTTTTCTGCCTCCCTGGTGCCTCCCAGGCTGTCCAAATGTTTCTTTCCTGCCTCTCTGGTGCCTCGCAGACTGTCTTTCCTGCCTCCCTGGTGCCTCCCTGTCAAAAGGAATCCCGTGCTCCAAGCGGCATTTCAAAGGCCAGTCTGTGCTGGGCAGCCGGCCGTGGAGCCCACCCCAGGATTTGCCGCGAACCGTGCCGTTCGCCATTGAAATTGTATTAAAAGTTAGACAAAATCCGGCGCCCTTCCAAACCAAGATTCGATCGGCAATCCTGTGCTACAAGTTTCCCTGGTGCCTCCCTGGTGCCTCCCAGGCTGTCCAAATGGCTCTTTCCTGCCTCTCTGGTGCCTCCCTGGTGCCTCGCAGGCTGTCCAATTGATCCTTTCCTGCCTCCCTGGTGCCTCCCAGGCTGTCCAATTGATCCTTTCCTGCCTCCCTGGTGCCTCCCAGGCTGTCCAAATGGCTCTTTCCTGCCTCCCTGGTGCCTCGCAGGCTGTCCAATTGATCCTTTCCTGCCTCCCTGGTGCCTCCCAGGCTGTCCAATTGATCCTTTTCTGCCTCCCTGGTGCCTCCCAGGCTGTCCAAACGGTTCTTTCCTGCCTCCCTGATGCCTCCCTGGTGCCTCGCAGACTGTCCAATTGATCCTTTCCTGCCTCCCTGGGAAAACCTAAGGCTTACCCCCCCAAGCCCAAAACCTTCACAGAACAGGCCACCCCCAGAGCAAAATGGGGCAAAGTTTGGGGTTATACTTTCTTATGGACATAAGAAGGGTGGCGTGAATGCGGTCACGCCCATTTGTATTTTCTCGTAGTGGCAGGGCATGGCCTTATATTGTTGTCGTCTGTTTCAGGTCCAGCAGGAGGCTTTACCCTCCTGCACACGTATATATTCAGCAAGCAAACCTGTTAAGCCTCTCACAGCATAGCTGCTCGGGCGATGCCTGGTCTCGGCAACAGCGTTCGAGGGCTGCTGTATAGCGCCATCGCCCTCTCTCTTAGTTTAGGGTTTGGGGTTTAGGGTTTATGAGGTCATTCCCCATTGTAAAGCTGAGACAAACAGGAGGCAAATCCTTGGCTCTGAGCAA